TTTGACTTCAGTACATCAACGAACCCAATTAATGTTTATGATGATATGCTGGTTTTATGAGAGAACAAACTAATAAACATCAATGATAACCTAATTCCTGATTTACAGATATGATTTTAGGTAATAAAGTATTATCTTTGGTCAAGGTCTTCTTGTCTTGATGCAGAATAATTGCTGTATTATACCCATATTGATTAACACGTATGATAGAGGGAGCAATAACCCATATAAACAAACATTTAGCCAGTGTCGGATTCAGAAGAGGCCGCGGGAGGCTAAATCCATCGTTACTCATACATATATAATCCACAATGCAACGCAGTATTGAGGTCATTCTGTAGGACTCCATCCGATCATCGTAAAATATCCTATTTTTTAGCTTAGGTTAAAAGTTTTATAACATTGACCCAATTTGTAATATCAACTACGCCACACTTTTCTTACACTGAGAGCTGATTTATTTTTTTATTTCATGGAGGCATGTGTTGATTTTTAATTTAGAAAATGTTCTGCAATATTTCTCATACACAATGTTTTACAACTGCATCTTACAGAAACAATACATCTTGAACAAATCCTAGCAGTAGCATTTATTTGACTTTGGTCAATGAACCCACTCGATGCTATGTTGGTTTTATGAGAATAGTAAGAGAATGGACAAACAACAATGATAACCTAATCCCAAAGATTTATAGACATAAGTATGGATCAGGTAAATTCCGATTTTAGTTGATAAGTTTTTAATATTGGTCTAGAACCAGTCTTGATGCAGAATAATGGCTGAATTATACCCATATTGTTTAATACTTATATGCAATGTAAGTGGCAAATTGCTCACACATATCTAGCTATATAATAGATGGCGAAATAACACTCCTAACATACATTCAGCCAGTTTCGGGTTCAGAAGGGACCGCAGGAGGCTTAATCGATCGTTACTCATACACATGTAATCCACAATGCAATGCGGTAATGAGGTAATACTGTAGCACTCCTTCCGATCGTCGTTAAATATCCTCCCATCTTAGATTAGAAGATATACAACGTTGACCGTATTATGCATGTTATGTTGTACATTTAGCAGCATTCAAGTTATGCATTCAGACTCATTTACATTAACCAACTGCTGAAACACGACTTCTTTGCTCGGGCACAGTTGAATAGATATATATGTTCTTGAAACGACGTAATTTCATAAATCAGGGTCAATGTTTTGATTTCTCGTGGTTGAGTGTACAATAATGCGAAACATATCAGGCAATTGTATAGCTAACAGTAACACAAATCTAAGTAGCAATATAAATTTCGGAAAAGACTAAAATGATACCACTTGTAATTTAGACTCGTGTTGATCAAGGCATCAACAAATCAGCCCGAGGAGTGAGGCAATTATGACATTTAGTGATCCGTCCGTGTTTATTTACATATATGCATTTCCCTTTGCGAGAGAAAATTCACTTGCCTCATACATACTGGTATGCGGGTATATCTGTTTTTGTTGGCAATTAAGCCGAGCTTATTGGCCTAGGGGTAGCGACGTTTGCCATTTATTTCTACGTGCCACATTATAGAAGGAGAGTCAAGTCTTGAATGGGTCGGCGCATTTGGACATATGGAAATGTTCACCATATTAGGCAAATTTGGTTGTTGAATTGGTCAACAAACAAAACAAATAGGCTTCTACACGCCGCATACCACACTGTGAATAAATTACAATTTTAATTGTAACCTCTATGCTATTGTACCCACTCATGTGGAGTCCATCATACTAACCAGCAATAGTCAATTTCCAAATCCATTTGAATATTTATTTAAGAAATGTGGATGCAAATCATTACAAAGATTATCTCGTCGATGTAGACAGAATTGAGAAGTAGCGTATTGAATGCACTATGCATATATTTTCTGTTAGTTATGAAGAATTAGAATTATGTTATGTATGGCAAATTTTGTGTAGAGTGAATGTGAAAAGAAAAATTCTCACATCATTATGGTTAGGGCCTTTTGTTGTTCAAGTAAATCAGAATTACTGAAAGAGGTCAGTTGTCACAAAAGAATGCACAAAATCACGGAAATGACGCTTCATAGACGTTTTGATGTTCCAAAGTTATGACGCTCGTGTGCGCATTATTGTTTCCAGTCAGCTGCCAGTACTGGGTTGATTGTTGTGTGCTGTGTTGTGTTTGGTGGCGTATTATGTCATACGATTGGAATTATCCGTAATGTTTTTGGGTAGGGTATCGTTAGGTGATTGCGTGTCAGAATATACAAAAGCTTCTGCATTTGAACGATTTCTTAGAATATGTCCCGCTGCCTGGTCATTGGAAACTACATGTGAATGGCGTCCAGTCACAGATACAACTGCAATATTGCTGTATGGTTGTATTTTTGTGTAAATTACGTCTTTATCTTTTTATGTATACATGAACAAATCATATACAGATTAATAGATGGATATACAGATATTTTTGTGTTTTCTTCGTTATTCAATAGTGTAAAGGTACGACCATTGTATAGATACAAGCATTCCCCGTATTGGACGATTTTGGACAGTAATGTCTGACAATCTCGTTCGTATTGGACCAAGAAACGTGTCACACATTCTCAAAACGTTTCTCTTCAACGAGTTTTGAATGCGTTTGCCATATATGAGAATATAAATTAAGTTTGTCTAAATTAGACATCCTGTGAAATTCTTGGACATTATTCGATCTTTGCATCAATTAAGAAATCATGCTTCGTTTTTTTTTAAATTGCCAGAGCCAGTTAGGCAAAGGTGTTTTCAAAGTTCTCGTTTTTTGCTGATTGAATGACATTCAATTTATTCATGAATATTGATATTTTATTTATGCTCACAACACCATTGCTGTATGATTTGGATCGAATTTATAAACGTTTATAACGTTTACTTTTTAGTAATGAACAGGGTTTTTCAGGGTCCGGAGTACAATCACCTTTCAACCCTTTGTTGACGCCTGGTCTCCACGGAAAGCTAATTGGCCAAACAAAATTCAGAGCTTAGTCGCACGCCGAGCCTATTCAATCGTTTTCTTTGGATATGACCTCGGAAAAGAATGGATGTCTGGCATAGTTGCTGGTAGTATTTTTAACAATAAAAATATTTCATCAACAAATTTTGGATATTTGCATTAGTATACCACGACATGAATTTTGTGAGCCTTTTCAACTCGCATGTGACTGAGGTTTCAAATAGAATTTGGAAAACAGATGGTATCACTTTTCATCATAACTGTCATTTTAAGTGTTGTATAGGTGCACAAACATGAATCATTGTCGTGTGGTCCAATGCATATACATCAGTCATTTGCGATAATATACATTAACACTGCGATAAAGAATTTCCGTTTTCTACATAGTAAAATACAGTATTTTCCCCAAGTAAAATAGTATTTATTAAAGTAATTGTTCATACATGAGTTGTTGAACACACTACATAGTTTGTAATGTCATTCAGCTTTACTCGATCTTTGCATCAATTAAGAAATCATGCTTCGTTTTTTTAAATTGCCAGAGCCAGTTAGGCAAAGGTGTTTTTGTATTTCTTGATGCAGTCATTGCCGTAGTCTGCTGCAATAACATAAAATATTATTTCAATTATTTCTTTTTTTTTTAATAAAAGGCAAACATATAGAGAATATAGAAAACTGCCTTATT